TGAATATCTACAAGACGCAAAGAATTTGACGCAAAGCATTTAATTAGTCAAGACAAAAGTACTCTCGAAGAATACAGTATATGTTTAAAAGTGGTTGAGAGCTTTTTAGGTGAGAACAAGATCGCTGAATTCAAACAAGCTTTCAATAATACTAGAACCGACTCAGACGAAAAGGATATCTACTCTTTATGGAAGCTATGCAGACTTAATCAAGCCGAGATGATGGAGCCAGATGAGCATGACAATGAAGTGGACATTGAGTCGAACGGCGGCATAAGCAATATATTCAGCGAGAGCTTTTTAAACGCCCTTCCTTTTGAAATTGTTGGAATCTTTTTTCCGCCTGAAATTCCTAAAAATATCTTCGAGCTGCCCCACAGTATGATCCAAGTTTGTGATAACGTTGACAAAGCATCTGCTGTAAGTATCTAACCGAAAAAAGACGGAACTAAGGATAATATAAAAACGAAATCGGACGAGATAGCTGATGAACTTGGGCAAATCAGAATCAAGTGCATAAATATCCTGGAGGAAATACTCGACAGGATTTTTAAAAACGCCAAAAAAATTCAACCTCACCATTATTTTATCCGACATAATATTAAAACCGTCCGAGATAACAAAACCCATTAATTAGGAAGAAGTTTGGAAGAAACATCTTCAGTGGCCACTAAAGGAAGATAAGAGGGAGAACAAGCGTAAAGCGACTGAAGAATTAAAAATGCCATACGCTACTACTTCAGCTAATTGGCCTTAATTTCAGTAGGAGCAGGAAAATGAAAAACAGCAGAAGGCCGAAGTAAAAAAAATGGAAAAGGAACAGGCTAAATTAGAGAAAGAGAACAAAAAGGCGGCTGATAAAGAGAGAAGGAATTTGGAGAAAGAAGAAAAAAGGCTACAAAAGAAAAATGAAACCAAAACTGTAAAGACAAAGGCAAGAGTAAAGAAAACGCTCAAAGAAATAGATTTAGCCGAGAATTCAGCAAAAGTCTTCGAAAGAAAGGATCCAGTTGAGAATGGAGAAAAATTGAATATTGAAAAAACTGATAAGAAAACTGAAATGATTAGTAAAAATGATGATTTTATTGAGGTGTTAAAGGTTGGGGACTATGTAGTCATTAAGTACGGGTCCAAACTATATCCTGGTGTTGTTACGCGTACTGTCGAAAATGAATATAAAATCAGTGCTATGTATAAAGTTGGGACAAAGAAGTGGAAGTGGCCAAATCTTGTTGATGAAATTTGGTATGATCAAAAAGACAATAAAAAAATGTCGGTACCTGTCGAAGTTACGCCCGGAATTTTTGCCGTTCAGATGTGATATAAATTTATTTGTTTTTGATTTTTTGTTAAAGAATGTTTTTTTAGTTTAAATATGTTAATTATTTTAAGTTTCTTAAAGAATGTTTTTTTGTTCAAATATGTTAATTGTTTTAAGTTTAATAAATTCAAATAACTAGTATATAAATAAATTTATTTATATAAATCTCGTTCATTTACTGGACGGCACATGTACATTTACTGGGATAAAGTGTTAATTAACTGGGTTTTGTTGCCTTAAAAAAACTCATTTTTAATTAAACCGGGGATTTTAAATACACTTTTTGGATGTTTACGTTCTAAAAAATACTCTAACCTACTATACAAAACTTTTTTTTCACATTTGATGGAAAAACTTAATATTAATAAACAGCAAAGGGCAAAGATTTCTAATTCGTTCATTCACTGGCCAATTCACCCTATGTTTTTTCTTGTTTATTCTCTTCTTAAAGTAATGTTATTCCACGGCGTTCTCTATTCCAGGCGAGAGTGTAGTCCCCACTCCTGCATCAAAACTGTGACGTCAGGAGGCCGATCGGATCAACGTACGCATATTGTATAACATTGCTTTGCAACCAATGTTATGGATTTTTATTGCTTTTAAGGAGTATTTTTTACTAAAGCAGTGGACAATGCATGAGTATACCTTCTATCAAAATCAACAGAACAATATTTCCTAAGTAATTTATTGAAAACAAGCAGAGAACTGCTATTAAAATAGTAATTTATTTAAAACAAAGAGAATTGCACACAAAAAATAATTATGTAATTTTAAAATAACGATTGTTTTGGATTTGTATATTTGAAATAAGTTTAGTCTAATTTTTATAATATGGAATATTAAATAATAATTTTGTTAAGTTTAATTTTATACAAAAAATTAGTTTAATTTATCTATTACTATTAAGAATAATTACTTCAATAAAAATTCCTTGTATTTTAATTTAGAAATTATACCCATTTAAATATTAAGGTTTACTTAAAATAAATTAATATATTAATTTAAAAAAGTTTTCAAAAAACATAATAGACTTTATTTAAAAATAAACACAAGTAAACTTATATTTGATTTGAATTAAGAGTACCTACCTATAATATTTTTGCGTTTAAGTAATATAACCATAAAAATGTTGGTTAGGTATTTAATGTAAATGAATATTGTGTATTGTGCATATATGCTCTTAAAATAGTAATTTATTTATAACAAACATAGAACTGCTATTAAAATTTAATTTATTTAAAACATATATAACTGTTATATAAATAAAAAATACAACAGTAAGCTACATCATAGTTTTTAGTTTTCGGGGCGCATTGTTTTCTTGCAGCTATTTTTTTATAAAAAAATATTGTAGCCTACAATTTGTAGTTAATTTATTATATAGTATTTCGGCATCAACATTGTTTAATATATTCTTCTTTTATTAGATATATAGCATAATATAGCAATAAGTAGATAATTTTAATAATTGACTGTTGGGGACGGGGCAAGGGAATTTTTTTTGCTGAATAAAAAAGGGGCAGTAAGTGTTTTTCGGCATCAACATTGTTTAATATATTCTTCTTTTATTAGGATATATATTAACTAAAAGAAACTTAAGCAATATATATATAGCAATAAGTAGATAATTTTAATAATTGACTGTTGGGGACGGGGCAAGGGAATTTTTTTTTGCTGAATAAAAAGGGGCAGTAAGTGTTTTTTGCCCAGAGAGGCAAAAAACTTCGGGCCGGCTCTGACTATCGATAATTCATATGAAACTGTCTTGCATTACCGCGATAATTTTCCTGTTGCCTCTTAGGAACGCAACATTTTCTTGGTATTTTTTATTTATTTATAGTGTTATAAAAGCAGCAAACTAACGCAATATTTAAATCAACGTTAAATCGAGCGATATCAATAGTAAAGTAATAGATAATTTATATTAAACTTTCTTGTATTACCGCGATTATACATTAATTTGCTATTGCAGTCGGCCTCCTGACGTCACGCCTCCCACTACCACACTCCCGCCTGGAATAGAGAACGCCGTGGTTATTCTAATGCCTTTTTAGCAGTCTTGCAAAATTCGCTGTTGATGCTTTAACCATTTTTCATAATCATTTATTTTCAAATTTAAAATTTTCTGAATTTCTATACCCAGACAATTTCCTTCGAATCTTTTATTTTTTGAAAGGATACCGGATTTATTATAAACATTTTGTTAGCATGCTTCATTTTTAAGTCACTTTTTCGCGACACGAATGAATTATAATACGTTTTCTCTTTAATGCAACTTTACTCTGATCTTGTTGTGTATGTTTTTTGGTAAATAAGATAAAATTTTAAAAATCAATATTTAATTAAATAGGTAGGTATGCCTCCTGAATTCAATAAAGTACCCCATAGACCCCTATTCAGTTTTTAAGTATTAAACTTAATACGAGGGTTGCCTTTTATATTTCGGGAATAGAGAAAACAAACATCAATTAATCATCGTACATGGCTTTATTGTTTTTCAAAATATTTTCCATGAAGATCGAGACACGTATGCATGCGCTTGAACCAATTTTCAAAGCATTTTTTCCACTCTGATTGAGGAGCCTCCAAAACATGCATTTTCTCATCTTTAAAGACCCACACAATCGACTGCTGTTTACTTTCAGGTTGATACGCATAGATCCATGATTCGTCACCTGTTACGATGTACCACTCGACACGAAACGTTGACGGCCAAATGTTCATTTAATATTGAATGTATGCTGGTCCCACTAATGCCCAAGAATGACTCAATATATATGTCACATGACGATCTTGCAGTACCATCACCGATATACACTTGTTTTTGATGGCGCTTTATTGCCATGTTGGGATAATGCACCTTTAAAGTTGTAAAAAATTATCGCACGAAAATGTTCACGATCAATTCCATTTTTTGGCCGACATTAATTTTTCAAGTGACTGTTAATGATACTAATTGGGCCCGCACGTCACAACGTTTTAAGTAAGAACACTGTCTAAAAGGTCGAATTTTACGATAGAGACATCTGTTGTCCGATAACAGCAGCAGGATCTGCCATTCCCGAAATATAAAAGGCAACCCTCGTATATTTGGTTTTTACGGTTTATATACCAACAAAAAAAAAAGCTAAAATGATGATTACGTGTTGACGAGTCGTATCTAATCTTTAATTATACACCAGATATTACCCAAATTGTAAAGCGGCATTCGAAGCGGCACTAAATGTACATTTTTAATTATTTGTTTAAGTTTTTCATAAAATTGAAAAAAATACGTATTAGTAATTTATGAAAACACAACCTAAAGGTGTTTTGCAGTATACAGGGTATCCTATATTAAAAAACTTTATGCACTCAGGGCCGCCTCAAGGGTAATTGGCCCCTGTTTCGGCGCAATAAAAATTTTAATATTTCTCATAAATATTAATATTTCTTAGATAAAAACGATTTAATTTTCTTTAAAGCGCCCCTCACGAATATAATTTATAATATTTGGGATTTTGGAATAAATCAAATGTCTTCACGTTCTTTAACTTTCGATTATGTTATTATAATAATAAGTCATTTATTTCAACTACAGATTATGTGGGGAAAAATCTGTCGAATTCAACCCAGAAAATTGTGATATAATTTCTAGTTAAGAAGGTCGGCCTGTCTAATTTTAACTGTCTCATTTTAGCACTCTTTTTAATCGATAATAATTATGAATTATGGCTATGGCAAGGTTGTTGCAAAGAAACGGAAATTAACCTTAATAATCATACTGGTTCAGGATTTATTCGATGGCAAGCTGAAAGAAAAGCGGCTATGGAAACTGCTATTGATTATTGGAAGACTAAAAATCCTAAGAGCGTAATTATTCCTGCTTATCTAGTTTGGGCGGGACTAGAACCTTTGGAATTTCAAAATCTCTTTTCATCATGGTCTGACCAATGCTCTATTTATGAAGAATTTTCGGAAAAAAATATAAGAGTAAGTGTTTTTTCCAATTTCCTCAATATAGGTTTATAAGGATATATACACACAGTGCTCGATTTATAAAAAAGGTTTGTTTACACAAAAACTTTTATTTTATTTAATTCCAAATGTTATTTTGCAAAACAAGTAGCACATTTTTGGTTTTGTAGTAAAGTAATAAAAGCAGTAAAAAAGGCATTGTTTCCTGATTGTTTAAGTTATGTTTTGAAATATTTTTTTCTAAAGACAGGTACCGGAACGTTGCGCTTTTCCGGCGCGTTCCGCTTTAAATCGAGCTCTGTTTTCACATATACCTACATACTTTTTGACCAATATACTTAAAAGTACAATTGAATTTCAAAAAAAGCAAAAATCTAAATCTGCATAAGTAAATAAACCAAAAATCAAGTTGATCGATTTAATGATAACTCATAAATCAACTGATGCATCTAACGTGAGACCACCGTTATATACAAAAAAAGTATATACTGTCCGTTCAGTTAGGCGGTCTAAGGAATGTAACCCCGTCAATCATCTCTATGTTCAGGCACAATTAAATACATGTACACTGCGCGTCAAAATTAACGCATAACAAGTAAAGGCAAAACGCCTTTACCAATCTTTATAAAATTTTGGATAAAAAAAACTTTAACATATATCTTAGTTTACGTGTTCAAGGGTTTTTCCAGAAAATATCCTTAACGCCCTTCCCAGATAACCAGCGTCCTTCCGTTTGCCGGTCAGTTGCCTACTATACGTTCTCTTGATATGGTAGCCGTTTGCTGTCAAGTGGGTGCCACCATTTGACTGTCTGTAGACAAAAATCTTTTCTAACAATATATTGTGTGCAATCCACCGGCAACCGACGGGAAACCTTTTGCTTATAATTATTGTGGACAACAGACGGGAAACCTTTTGCGTATACTGATTGTGGGCAACGGATAGGAAATAATTTACCTATTCAAATTCACTGAATTTGGTGGCAATTTGCCGATAACGAATCAGAAATTAAAATAAATTAATAAATGAAGCGTTGAGAACCAGAGTGGCCTTACCCACAAACATTTATTCTAAAATGGGGTTATAATTTTAGGACAATATATATATTGGGTGCTTTTTTTAACAAAGTTTTTCATTTCCGAAAAAAAGCACCTTAATATATATATATATATATATATATATATATGTATATATATTGTCCTAAAATGATTGTTAACATCATTTAAGAAAAAACATTTGTGGGTTAGGCCACTCTGGTTCCAAACGCTTTATTTACCTATTCATTTTAATTTCCGATAGGTTATCGGCAAATTGCCACCAAATTCAGTAATGCCTCATTTATTGGTATTGTTATTTTAACAAGAGGGTTAGCCGTAAATTTTCATACTCGAATTTTTTCAAACGTCGTTTTATTACAAAAATACCTATATTTACAAAGAAATAAAATATTTTAAATATTTATATACACAACAGAATAACCTTATAAGCCGATAATTTATATATAATAATAAATAATAATAATAATAATAAATGTACTTTATTGAAAAAAATACATTTTTCAAAAGGCCATTGACTTTCGTCCTTCAGCCAGGAATAATAAATATATTTATTATTATATAAATTATCGGCTTCAAACAGGCGCAGCCTTATGGAATCTTCATTGTTTACGTTTGGATCTCGACTAGTGATGTAAAATACCCAGGTATTTACCCGGGTATTTACCCAAATAGGGTATTTACCCGGGTATTTACCCAAATAGGGTATTTATAGGGGTATTTTGATTTAAATCTTGCATAAAAATAGCTTGAAATCAATAAATAGTTTTATTCAATATAGTGAAGTATACTGTAGTAGTACCTACCTTAGATCTTAGATAATATTATTTAAAACTTGTTTTTTTGAATTTTTCACATAAATTTTGAGGTTATGTAAAAAAATTGTAATTACAAAAGTTGTAGATCCTTTTATTACCTACAACTTTGCCATTTAACTTTTTTTCATAGGACTTGTAGTTTTGCCGGAAATCGAGATAAACCATTTTTTACCCTTAAAACCCCCCCTCCCACTTCCCGAAGTCAGATCGCCCGTAATTTATTTTTCCTTTCATTTTTATTATATTCTTCTCCTTTTCCAATGGGTTTCATCCTACTGTTATTTTTTTGGTTTCAAAAATTATCGACCCTATGTGTGCATTTCAACAATTAAGCGGTTTTCCACGATTAAGTGCGTTCAGAGACAATTCTAGTACGTTTATGTTTATATGGTTTAATAGGGAAGTTTAATATTATTTAAAGTATAAATAATAACGCATTTATCAAAAATACCCAGTTTTGGGTAGGTAAATAAAATTTGGGTATTTACCCAGGTATTTACCCAAATTTTATTTACCTACCCACTGGGTATTTACCCTATCTACATCACTAATCTCGACGCTTAAGCCTGATTTATAGATTGCCTTTCTTCCTTCCTTCCTCCCGTAGAAGATGAACAATACAAAAACCGTTGTGCTTTTTAAAGATTCCCATACGAAAATCTATAAATGGCACTACGATTTTCGTATTGTTAATCTTTTATGAGAGGAAGGAAGGAAGGAAGGAAATCTATAAATCAGGCTTTAGCGGTAATACGTTGACGCTGTTTTGCGGCAAAACTTTTGCCACTCGCCGTTACCTCTCTTTGAAGTTCAACACGCGTTGGTGGATCAAAGTTTTTATTGGTACCCACAGCTCCTGCAATAAATATATGTTTATCAATAAACATATTATGTTTAGTTTGTATAAAACATTATTTAACATACCAAAAATAGCCCTAACAAGACCAGGGTTTTAAAGGGGATGATTGCCTTGCTCATCCCTCCATGTATATTGGGTGCATATCTCGTCAGAGATAAACTTCCTGAACAGTTTATGAATGTGTTCTTTTAAGGTGTCACCACCTATAAAGGCCCCATAATCAATCTGAAAAATAAAAATAATTTATTAACGCTTTCAGTCAGATTTTAATTAATAATTTGATAATTTTTTATGCACATGTTTATTAGACTACCACCTATACTATGGTAAATTTTGTCGTTTCTTGGGAAGCATTTGGTTCTATTAAAATATCCACTAAATGTGTTTATTTATGTCACTTTTTTGATTATCAAAAAATTAAAAAATGCCTATAGCTGGTACACCCTGTATTTAAGAGCGATAAAAATTGGTTCAAAATGCAAATTTTACAAGGGCGATAAGGTGTGCTTCATAAAAATTTGTTGTAGTATACTACAACAAATTTTTGTATACAAAAAAGATATTACATTAATTAATTAATTTAAAATTACCGCTATTATAATAGCTTCTGAAATTTTAAATAAATTAATATTATTTGAATAAAAACCCTTATAAAATTATAATATTTCAAAGAAAAAACTACATCTTCAAAAAATCCTACATTTTATAGCCTCTATTTAGGTACTGTGCCGAAAGAAGTTTCACTTCAATATAACAAATTATTTAAAAATTTACTTACGACTTGGTTTCTTTTTTGTATTTTTTTTTATTTTCAAAGGATTTTTAGATTTTTCCATATTGATATAGGTACATATATCAAAATTGATCAATTTTAGATCTAAAAGAAGAAAGAAACAATTTTAAGCATATATTCAGGGATTCACCTTATCGATTTTTATTCCGCCCGGTGATTTTACAAATCATCGAATTTGTTCTGCATTATTTTAACAGTGCTATATATAATATATATATATAGCTATAGCTAATAGATAACTATTGCGTGCATAAAACATAGCTGATAGATTTCTTGTTTATATTAATCAACACGTCGTACACACACTCGCAGAACAAACTATAAATTATAAAGAACAAATGGTGAGCAACGGTAGCGGGGACTCTCGCGCAAGCGCGGTTCTTTATTGTGGGAAATATGTTGGCCGTCGGTTGCACCTCTGTTGCATACAATTGTTGACTGGAATCTATTGAAAATAAGCGGCTATCTTGGGCGGAAACAAATTTCTTGCAGTTTTCATGCAACTGACCAACAAAGTATTTTAGGAAATGTGTTGCCCGTCGGTTACACCTCTGTTGAATACAACTCTTAATCAGAAATTATTGGAAATACGTGTCAAACTTGGGCCGAAACATTTTTCCTGCAGTTTGCATGTAACTGACGGGAAATGTTTTGGACTTATTGGCTTACTGTTGCATGAAATATGCCAGCTTGTTATTGCCGACAACGCGTTTCTTTAGGTTTACTAAGAAACTTTGGTTATCTGGGTTTTATTTAATAATAAAAAACGCTCGAAAAAATACTTTTATAGGGACATTTTCTTTAAGTATATAAAAAAATATCCTGTGTAAGACCGTATTTTTGTTAGTATACCCTGAAAATTTCGTACAAATCAAACGAACAGTAACAAAAATACAGCGCTTCAAAGTCGTCAAAAATTACCACTTTTCAGCAAAATAATCAAAAAGGGATCATTTTTTCCGACTTTGAAGCGCTGTATCTTCGTTACTATTCGTTTGATTTGTACAAAAATTTCACGTCGGTCTTTAACAGCATATTTTTTTATTACTTAAAAAAAATTCCCTAAAAGTTATTTTTCGAACGTTTTTCTTATATTTACATAAAAAGGCTTTAAAAATATTTTCTCAAAAAACCCTTGAACACGTAAACTGAGATATAAGTTTTTTTATACAAAGTTTCATAAAGATTGGTAAAGGCGTTATAGAGTTAATTTTGACGCGTAGTGTATTTCGGTAGCCGTTCTGTACGAACAAACGGCAAGCCGCGGCACTGATAAATCATCTTCTTGTTACCGAAATCTCGCGACGATTTAATATTTAATTCAATCAACGGCCACATGATCCCCCACCACAGCGCCCAACTTAACCTGAAAGGACAGACTGCTCTTTTAGTTCCACTCTTACTTTCTAAGAAGTCCCAGAAACCAACTGAATGGCTTGAGCTGGTTAGGGTTAGGAACGGACCGCGGGCTTGAAGTCCCCTCCGATGGA